ACAACAATATCTTTGGAAGCTCATGAAGTCATATCACTCACCACTGTTTTAGGAGTTAGAAAGATCAGTAGAGGTTACCCTGGGAGAAATGGGATCCATTTTAGTAACAGTGGGATTTGCTTTCAGATTTCAAGGTCTAAAAAAAGCCTTTTTATAGACCACCTGCTTTGAATAGACTTTAAATGCTGCCAGTGTTACTTAACCTTTGTTCTGTCACAATTAAATTGCCTGAGAAAGGAGGAGGTAGACAGAAAAAGTGTCAGAATTTTATTGCTTTGGGTCATAGTTCTCATATGCCTTGAAAAGAAATTACCCCAATGTACTCTGGAAGTGTATATCCAGAAAGAAGCAAGTTTATCATTTCAAATTGAAAAGGATCAATTTTTTTTTTTACTTGTACCTTCATTAGAAGACAAAAAAAAAAATGTCACTGCCCACAGAAAACAAGTCTGAAATGTGGGGGGATTTGAAGGAATAAGGGAGGTGGTATGTTCAAATCTACTTATGTACCCAGCTTTTAAAAACTATGAAGTAATCCTTTTGTTGCATAAGTGTGTTTTAATAGCAGCTAGGCTTCCCCTCCCACCTTTTGAGCCAAGAAAAAGGCCTTGAATTAATAGTTCTGTCCTATTTTGTTTTTTCTTGGCACAGTTGTTTTTAGGAATAGTTTTGGTTTAAGTTTACAACAAATATCCATTTGATGTGGTATAACTTGTTTTGACACTGATCTTCGAAAGTTTGGTTAGCAAATGCAATATACTGCCATTGGTTTTGTGTAAATTATGATCTTTAATAAAGTGACCATTTTACCCAGAATTTTGTTCCTTTTCAGTTTGTCCCCATTCTCACTGATATAGTAAAAAAAAATATGACATTGAGTATGTGGATATATTGGCTAAAAACTTATCAGTTTTACAACTTTTCATTTCTTATTCCTTAAATAGGTCATTTTTACATTTTGGAAGGGCAAAATGATGCATTGCTTTGTGGTAACAGTTCTGATGCAGGGTAAGAACTTCTTTCCTTTTGTGTCATGCCATGTTATGCTATCTGCCTAGAACTGCCTATACACCAGGCCACCATTTTCTTCTCACAAAATTCCCAAAGTGGGTGGGCAGAGTATGAATTTGCACTTCCTTCAAGCATTCATGTCCAACAATTACTAATCCTACTTGCCCACATCAAATCAATCAAGTACAATGAAAAACAAAAAGAGAAAAACTAAAAGTAGGCATAAGAAGTGGACTGTTTTCGTTTGGTGTTCATATGCATGATATTAACTAGTGTTGTGTCATATCATACTAGAATGTAAACTCCTAGAAGGTCCCGCCTATGTCCTAGCTATAATCTGTTCAGCACACAGCACATTATGGTTTATTTATAGTAGTAGCCCCTCTTGATGTTATGTGCAGTTTGCAAAATGCTTTCCTCACAAAAGCCCTGTGAAGGAGATTACGTAAAATGTCATTGTCCCCTTCTTACAGATAAGGAAACCAGTGCTCAGAATTTCAATGACTTGTCCACAGTCATACAAATTATAAGTTTTAGAGCTAGTTTCAAAAATAGGTCTTCTGACTCGAAATTCAATGTTGGGTTAGCTAGGTGGTACAGTGGTTAGAATGCTGGCCTGTCAGGAAGATCTGGGTTTCAAATTTGGCCTCACACTCTTACTAGCTATGTGACCCTGGGCAAGTCACTTAAATGCTGTCTGCCTCAGTTTCCTCAACTGTAAAATGGGAATAATAATAATAATACCTACCTCATAAGGTTTTTATGAGGACCAAATGAGTTAATAATTGTAAAACACTTAGCATAGAACCTGGACATTGAGCTATATAAATGTTAGTTATTGTTATTATTAATTATAAGAAGTAGAGAACAGAATAATTTCTGTGAGGACAGGATTTCCATTTGGAAATATTCTACACTTTAAAAAATAACTTAGCCAAATTCGATTCAACAAATATTTATTAAGATCTTTCTACATATAACGGACTGTGCAAAGCTCTGAGGGATTCAGAGATGAATCAGATCCTGACCTTGCCCCCAAAAGCTCAAAAGTCAAGTATAATAGTTTTTTATTCTTTACATAGAAACCATTAATACTATAATACCTGCCAGGGCTATGCAGGATGTAGCTCCCCTGTTCACTAGAGCCAATTGTTAAATTTTTAGTGTGAGCATTTACACCTTTAAAATTAAAAACACTACAAATCAGGGTTTTGTTGATGGTCTAGACTTCAGAAAAAGACAGAGAAAATATTATTAATGCAGATTAAACTTAAAAATGTGTCATGAGTACTTTTTTTTCTGGCAAGTCAGTTGTTAAACAAGCACACCACTGCTTATGTCAAAATTACTACTGGCAGAAGGATTTTAAAATTTGGTTTGTCCATTAAGATGACAAAGAAGGAAGGAAACCAGCATTTATTTGAAGCCTGCTGTGTACTAGGCACTGTACTAAGTGCTTCACAAATATTACCTCATTCAATCCTCACAACTCTGGAGGTAGTTATTCTTATTCCATTGACAGAGGAGGAAACAGGAAGGATCAGTGAGAGATCAATATTCTGAATCTGAGGCATGAGAGTACCTCCCTTTCAGTGAAATAAAGGGCACTTCCCTTGGCTGGGTCCTAGCACCAATGCATTCAAGAGTGAGAAAATCAGTGATATAAATGAGACAAGCTGTAAGTTGTTATCACCTTTAACTTATTTCTCTAAGAAAGACCTTCTCGTCCTTGACCTATTACCCACTTTTCTACAAGGTTATTCCCAGAAGTCCAGAAAGGGTGTTAAAGGAAAACATTATTTCTTAATACTTTTCAGTTTTGTTAAAAGGAAGGTTTTTTGAATGTGCACAGTGAATCACAACCTACATCTAAAGTTCTTGTCCTGGTCCATTCCAGTAGATTTTATCCTTAATGTGTGGTCATCTAGTAAGATATGCCCTTCTGACATTTTCTTTCAGAGTTAAGTAAAGTCAAATGACATAACACAAAGTCATTATTTCTCTATACTTAGTTATCAGGTCCCAGAAAAAAATGAGAGTATATCAATCTGTTAGTAAAAATGTCATCTTCATAAATAAATATGTTAATTATACATTAAGGAACATTGAGTATTGAGGTGACTCAGGATAAAAACCTGGCATCAAACTGTTTCATAGTTTTCCAGGAGCTTTAGGAATTAATTAACCTAAAACTATGTTTAGTGCAGGATGAAATGAGCTAAACAGAAAAGGTCCTTGTGTTACTAAGGCAACTAGGTGGTGCAGGGAAGAGAGCACTAGGCCTGGAGTCAAGACAGACCTGAATTCGAATCTTACCTCACAAATTACTGGTGGTGGACCCTGGACAAGTCACTTAACTTCTTGTCTGCCTCAGTTTCCTAGTGTAAAATGGGGATAATAACAGCACTTTCCAGCACTGTTGTAAAGATCAAATGAGATAATATATTTAAAGCACTTAGCACAGTGCTTTACCCAGAGTAGATGCTTCACATATGCTTGTTCCTCCTTCCCTTCCCCTTCTGTGAATTTTTCATGTAAAATATCGATTGAAAAATCTGTAAACATAGAAAAATCAACAAACAGATGTGCAGATGTAATTTCTTTCCTGTCTTCTAATCTAATTGCAGCCAGTGTCCAGAAGGATACATTTGTGTGAAAGCTGGCAGAAACCCCAACTATGGCTACACAAGCTTTGACACCTTCAGCTGGGCTTTCTTGTCCCTGTTTCGCCTGATGACTCAGGACTTCTGGGAAAATCTTTATCAACTGGTGAGACCTGAGTTAAATCAATGACTTCCAATGATTAAAAATGTAGTAATGGGATCAAACCAGTGATCATCCTTTACTTAGAAGGCAGATGGGCAGTAAACCATCTCTTCCCCCTCTCCTCTTTTTTTCTCAGACTCTTCGTGCAGCTGGCAAGACATACATGATATTTTTTGTCCTGGTGATTTTCTTGGGCTCTTTCTACCTTATAAATTTGATCCTGGCTGTGGTTGCCATGGCTTACGAGGAGCAGAATCAGGCTACCTTGGAAGAGGCAGAGCAGAAGGAGGCTGAGTTTCAGCAGATGTTGGAGCAACTGAAGAAGCAACAGGAAGAAGCTCAGGTATTGTCAGGTGGTTAATCAAGTTGTAGCTTCCTTCTCTGCAGCATCCTCGGAATGGGTAAAGTTCTAACAGCCCAGGAAATGTTTCATAGAAACTGGAAATGTTAAACACCCATTCATTACTTACGGTTATTTATTTTCCTCAGTTCTTAAGAGTGGATGAGGAGGTATGCCTAATAACATGGAATAAAGCTGGAATAAACATATATAAATTATGTTATCTTTCCCCACTCCTTAATAATTCCATGCATTTGGACATAATAAGCTTTCACAATGAGGAAAGAATGTGGTTTATTCTTAATTTTTTTTTGGGGGGGGATAATTTCTTGGAAATAGTTCCTCTAAGGCACTGACTAATTTAGTCACCTATTTATACCATTTTTTTTTTTGCTGTCGAGTACCTTGTTGCTTTTTAACACTGAGTATTTTAAAATGCATAATGACAGAACCAATGAAAAATGCTAGTTCAGTAATAATGGTGCTTAACAGTTTGTAGCTGTAGCTTTTCAAATACCTAACAATCATTAATTAGCTAAGCCACACAAATTCCTACAATCTAGATTGCCCTAATATATATGATCTGTAGTTTGTCTTTGTTGTTATCCTATACTGGAAGCCCTCAATTTATCCATTCAAACTGAAAAGCATTTATTCAGTAGAATAAAAATATTTTTGTCAGAATTAAATAGGATTAATTTGTGCTACCACTAAAAAGTAGACTATTTTTAAATGAATGAGTGGCAAAAAGGTAAGCACTCACTAGGTTCTTAATCATAGGGAACAGAGTGGTTCATTTCTGAAGTTGTTTGCCTTTTATGACAGGTGTTTAAATACTAGCAAAGGTAGATACCTGCATGTAGGCTATTTCTGATACAGATTATCAAAAATGAACCCCATTTTCTCTAATACTAAATAAATGCTTTATTATATTGTTGCTTTTTAGATGATGTGACACTATTGAAAACATTTGGTTGCTACTTTCAAAATTATCATGTCTGGAAAAAAAAATTCTACGGTTTACCATTCGTTGCCATGACTTAAAAAGATAAGGTCTATAGTCTATATCTACTTCTTCACAAGAAAGTTTTAAGGAAGATGATTTTTCTGTTGAATTTGAACTTTTTTGCATTATGGTTTGTGTGGTTGCAAAGAGAACCAAGTGATATTCTTTTACAAGCTTCTCCATGAATTTAGAACATTTCTTCAGAGTAACTTCTTGTAAGTTAAGGCTTTCTACTCCATTGCCCCGGTCTATCCAATAGAAGGCTGACAAACTATCTAAAATGAAAAGGCAGAGGGATGGGTGACTACAAAACATAGTTTCCAGTGAGTAAAGGGTGATAAGTAACTGGTTACTGCTGCTGCAATTCATGAGAAAAAATTTTCCAAGACAGTGTTTTATTATGTCTTCTGTGCTTTGGGGCAGTCTGTGTTCAAGAATTGTTAACTATCTGAAGCATATTAAAGTGGTAGTCTGTGTCAATAAATAAGACTTTGACTTCTAATCCACCTTCCGATTTTGGAAGGATGCATCTTGCAGTCAGATGTATTTTTGTGATAATTGGAGTCTCTTGGCTACATCAAAAATCATTTACTTTAAAATGATTTAAAGTACGATATGACTAGTCTCTGCTCAAGTTTCTTTTCCAGACCATATGTAAGCCACTGTAAAATTCCTTGACTTACCAGGCCTAAAGATTTTATATACATTATCTCATTTAATTCTTTTTGCTACCCCATCAGGTATGTGATGCAAGTATTATTCCCTAATCCCCGTTTTACAGATGAGGAAACTGAGGGTCATAGTGGCTAAATGACTTTTCCATTGTCATCCAACTAGTAAGATACAGTCAAGAGCCAAATACATGTCTTCTGGTTTTTAAGTCCAATATTTTTCATTATATTGCTTCTTCATATTTGGTTAGGTCAGTATTACTACTGTGTTGCATTTTTCATTAATAAAATAGAAAATAGACATTTTATATGATCATGCTAATGATGCTAATGATAAAGATAGGGATTTTTTAAAAAAGCATAGTTGCATACAACTACCAGATACTTTATCCCCTATTAGGCAGCGGCGGCAGCAGCATCTGTGGAATCGAGAGAATTCAGTGGAGCTGGTGGGGTAGGAGGCTGCTCAGAGAGCTCTTCAGAAGCATCAAAGCGGAGCTCGAAAAGTGCAAAAGAAAGGAGGAACCGGAGAAAGAAAAGGAAACAGAAAGAGCAGTCTGGAGAAGAAGAGAAGCAAGAAGAAGAGGAATTCCACAAATCTGAATCTGAAGATAGTATCAGAAGGAAAGGCTTTCGTTTTTCTATCGAAGGGAATCGCCTAACCTATGAAAAGCGGTTCTCTTCTCCCCACCAGGTACAAATTTTTGATTAAGGAATTGGTATGTTAGTACTAGAATGATGGTTTTCTTGGAGGGTTTTGTTGTTTTTAAAGACTAGGACTGTCTGTGTTGGCCATGCAGAAAGTGCAGGGCCTACTTCTAGGCCCAGTCCCACTCTGATTGGCACAGGAGCTTTGATCTGCTATGTTTTCCAATTTGATCTGGTTTTGCCATCCTTAAATGACCTGGTTCCTCCTCCATCCCTTCTCTCCTATCCCAATTCATGGGGATCCATGTTAATGTTGAACTTAGTGTGGACACTAGATCAACTTAGCCTGCCATGTATCAGAATTCTTCAGTTCAAGAGATCCATCCACCTCCACTCCCTGGTAGCAGCAATTATAGTCAAGGGCTACTTACTGTATATGGCAGGAAATTTCATTATTTTGGTAGGTTGTCTCATGGATACATAGGACGATGCTGCCACATTGATAACATAGATATTTGTTGTGATCAATTTGAAGAGCACGTGAATTGTATATTCAGTGAATAAACTTGACAAGAAATTTTAGAGTTTATGGAATATTTGGAAACCACAGGTTTTACAGGGTTCATATTTTTGAAGTTATGATATCTGTATATAGAGAGTCCATATTGGATATGTGGTTCAGAGCTATTGTCTACTGTGCCAGTGTCTCCACTATGCTATGGGTTGCTGAGTGGCAAGGCACCTGCTGCTCATCAGTCTTAACCTGCACTGACAGGAGTTAGCAATTAAAATCTACAATTTTCCATTAATAATAATAATAATAATAGCTAATATTTACCTAGTACCTACTATGTGCCAGGCACTGTGCTAAGCACCTTATAATTATTATCTCATGTGATCCTCACAGCAGTCCTAGGAGGTAGGTGCTGTGATTATCCCTATTTTACAGATGAGGAAACTGACACAGAAGTGAAATGACAGGCCCAGGGTCACACAGCTAATAAATGTCTGAGATCACATTTGAACTCAGGTCTTCCTGACTTTAGGCCCAATGCACTATCCGCTGTACCACGTAGCTGCAGAGTGGAGAATATCAATCATCAAGCATTTATTAAGAATATTATGTGCTAAGAGCTTATTAATAGGTTAATAGTATCTGTACCTGAAAGGGACATTAGGTTGTCTATCTGCTATTTGCATCATCAAAAATGAACAGTTCATTACAACTGGCATTGTTTCAGTAAGAAGTAGGGGAGTGGGAAATAATTCCAATGGAGTAACCAAAATGCTGGGCAATTGAAATTCTAAAGAGAATTATATTCAAAGAAACTTAGGACTCTAGGCAAAGAGTAACATTTCCACTAGCTGTAACACACTGGGAATGTCACTTAACTGCATTATGGCCCAGGCAACTTCCTCTAACATAGCTCCTGAGTCATAGGGGGTTTGTAGTCTGCATTGGCAAGGGGAGTTCACATAACAAGAGTTCCCTATGCTAATGAATAATTCCTTGGATGGGAATTTGAAAAAGAGATTGCTATTCATAGAAATCCAGAGAATGTCTTTTAAAAAATTATCAGGACTTTTACATTTAGATTTCATCTAAAAGATGTATGTCCAGGAGTCCTAATACTCCCAAGGATAACTACTTTCTCCTGTGCACAGTCTCACGTACCTTGAGCACAGTGCATGTATATCCCTTGCAAATTAACAAGTTTCCTGCAGAAGCTGCATAAAATATAAGATAAAAAGATATTATAGAATTGGGTTTTACTTCAGCTTTGTAATGGAACTATTGTCTAAACCAAATGCTATATTTTCTTATTATCATTTATCCTACTTTGCTGTAGTTATGATTATATTGGTAATTATTTAAATTGTAAAACATAGAAACTCCCCACTAACAAATCCCCTAAGAATAAAGGTACCTTATAGAAAGTCAAACTTCCATCCTAGCTAAGACTCTCAGACACAAAAGAGCCTGCTTGTCATTGGCTTCTTCCAGTGCCTAGAAGCCTGTATGGTAGAACCTTCCATAAGCACATATCATCCCCCTGCTATGTCTTACCAACTCTTGAGAGGCAACATGGAACAGAGGATCTAGGTTTAAGTTCTGATTCTGCCACAGTAAGAGAGGTTAAATAACTTGCTCGAGGTAGATTTACTGTGTCACCTTGAGCAAGTTATTTAACCTCTCTGGGCCTCATTTTGCTCATTTGTAATAGGAAAGAGTTGCACTAGATGATCTCTATGGCCTCTTCCAGTTTTAAAGTTATGATCTTTCCCTTCCAATTTACACAACACATATGAGATTGGATATTATTTTAGTTAATATTTATTTGAGTCATAATCCCAATTACTCAACATCCCAGATCAAATACTTATTCTTTTTATATAATTTCTACTGCATTCTATTCATTAATAAGGGTGTTATTATAGTCATTACAATTGTTATGGTAAAAATTTTGTGATAATAATGTCCTCAATAGAAGGCTACAGACACCAAAAGACTGCTGATTAATTATGTGAAGATGCTTCTTGTGACTATGCTTTTTTAAAAGCACTTTATCAAGGGGCAGCTAGGTGGCACAGTGGATAGAGCACCGGCCCTGAAGTCAGGAGGACCTGAGTTCAAATCCGGCCTCAGACCAAACACTTGACATGTACTAGCTGTGTGTGACCTTGGGCAAGTCACTTAACCCCGATTGCCTCACTAAAAAAAAACCCCAAAAAACAAACAAAAAAAAAAACAAAATAAAAGCACTTTATCAGAGCCTTGACAAGAATTAGGCTCATTAAAAAAAAAAAAACACCACAATTCATAGCTTTTTACCAGCCTGCCAAGTTTTTACCAACTCTTTTCTCACTAATCAGTACTCTGAAAATGCTCCTTCTGATAACAGTATCAAAAGCTGAACATATAGAACCAATGTCATGGACCACTTTTCTCTTTTTCTGAAATTTATTTTATTTTTAATTTATGGGATAAAACAAACATTTCTATAACAGGGTATAATAAAAGAGATGATTGCCCATGAAATTGAAAATATACAACTTGCTATTCATGTTAAATATACAACAAAGTTGTCATGTAAATTTCTTTTTTTCTTTCCTCCCCCCACCCTGCCCTATTTTCAGTTTTCATTAAAATCCTTGTTTTTCTTGGCTCTTGCATAATTTTATATAATTAAATCACTTAAAGAGAACACAAAGTCTCCAGTTTCCTTTGATTTCTTTAGTTATAGTCTATCCTCAGTAACATAGCTCATCTCTTTCTTCTTAATCAAATTTTACTTTTTTCAGTTTCTCCCCATACCCCTTCCTCCCAAAACAACATCAACAAAAGAAATATAGAACCCATGTGACAAATATGTGTACTCAAGCTAAACAAATGTTCATCTTGGTCACATTCCAACATGACTCCTCTTTTAATAGGATAAAACTGAAAACAAAAATAGGTAATGTTTAGCATTTCTAAATCAAAGCTTCTTAGCATTTCATCAAACATTGCAGAACTTTTATAATTTCTTCAAAAGTTTCTGTATGTCTCAAGGCTCATTCCATGACCTAGTATCTTAATTCCTTATCCCCTACATTATTCCTCTAGCCTCCCTAAAAGTCACAGAATTTCTACTGCGTAATCAATTTAAACTATGGTTTACCTAAGAGAAAAATATTGAGTGACAGGAAAAGAGGACATGAAAATTGCTGATATTATTGACAGTTGTAGAAAGGAGTTCAGGTTAAATAATTACGGCCTCCTTGACAATTCTCAATGATGTATCTTCTAAGACAGAGGTCAGCCAATTCTCTGTTGCTTGTTTTACATGTATGGCTCATCATATTTTAAAATGTAAAAAATTAGTCCTAATTTTAGGGCCATATAAAAATAAGCAATGGGCCAGATTTGGCCATTGTCCTAGTTGACCATTGTTCTAAGGTGCGTAATATTTACTGAAAGCTAATTGAAGGGTGGTATTAGAGAAAAGGTGGATCTTTTTTTTTTTAACAGCTCAGTCAGTTGAGCAAACATACTTTATTTGGAAATATTTCCCTGATGCTTTACAATTTGTCTTCTCAGGTTTTAATTTCCCACACATAAATAGATTTCTGTTCCTTAGAATTTCATTTGATTTGGCTACTTTTCCTTATTTTCTATTTGGGTCATAGCATTTGGTTGCTATGGAAATGATATTCATCTCAGAAACCAAATGATGATAATCAGGAGAGGAATAAGCTCTAAAGCTGATGAATGCTGGACAAATCCAATTTACATGCAAACATCATATGTACATTATGACCTTGTGGAGGTCACTCTGAGTCTTAAATAATTTTACAGAGTGTTTTATTACTTTCTAATCTTTTCATCATTTCTAGTGAACATAGTGCTGAGTACTTATTCATTTAATCAAAATGTATGTTCCCATCATGAACACATTCTAAATTATCCTTTTTCCTAAGTACTTCCTTGATGCTATACCATGTTTTTCTGACCTTCTGAAAT